CCTCCGGGCGGGCAGGCGGGCCAGTCCGTCTGTCCGAGGAAACTTCTGGAAATCGAGCGGCATCCGTGTCCTAGCAGAGCCGCGCACACCCACTTCCGCCGCGCTCACAGGACTTCCTCAGGGTGCACTGCAAGAAGCCTCCCCCTCCCACTGACAGAAAGGGTTAAAAGCCACCGACTTTCTTTCCCGGGTCTCCAGGCTTCAACCCTTCACCTCCAGCCCTTCCCCGGCCAGGCTGCAGCAGTGCAGCCCCCCACCGCTCCCCACCTGCACGGAACGCCAGCGAGGCTGATCAGTCCCGCCTGCCGCGGTGACAGGAAGATAATTTGCTGTCCTCATCACTTGGTGCTGTCTCAGGCCAGGCAGGGGTTTGTTTCCCCTCCAACCAAATGAGTATAAATTGACACTGTTCGTGGGCTGGTACTGCACCCTGCCTCAGCTCAGGCACGAGAGAGGCCTAAGGCAGCAGAAAAACAAAACCAAACAAGCCTATTTCTCTACTGCTTCCCACAAATAAATATCACGACAAGTGGGAAGCCACTACAGAGGGCTCTGAAGCCATCACATCTGCCACCTCAGGAAAAAACCCAGTAAAGTCACCTTTTGTTTCACTGCACTTCATGTCTCGCCCTCCCCGTGGCTCGTGCACAGGCTGTACCAACACCAAGTACCGCGTTGAAAGAATCCCAGGCAGAGGACCCCCTGCCCCAGCGCAGGCACAGCTCCCCAGCACGCCTCACCACCTGCAGACACAGCACCCTGCTCAAGGCTCAGCAGCCCTCCTCCTCCCGCCACGCACAAAGTCACGCATCCCGCAGGTGCTCTCGGCTTGCCAGGGTACCTGGGAGCGCAGTCAGGAGAGTTGGCACGAGGCCAGAAGACGGAGGCTCTTGTGGTGGACAGCAGGCCGCGTGCTGGCGGGGCTTTATTTGGATGGCGAGAAACGAGTGAACGCGGTGGGAAGGTGCAGAGGGCGGGCACAGGCAGTTCAAGAGAGGTTGGGGTGGGTTTAGGTGTTTGTTTGGGTTTTTTGCTGACGGGTTTGGATTTACATCCTCTTGTCTTTCCAGGAGTTCACCCACCGTGCAATGTTGAGATGAAAAGCACATTATCCTGGTCCTGGAGTTTATAATCCAGCTCACCCTGCAGGCCAAGAAAAAAAATGAAAAATAGTTTAAATGTCATTTCCAAATACTAGCTGCAAAGAGAAAACAGCTCATAAAGAGGTGGTGAGCATTAGGCAGAGCAGAAGGGGACAGACTGATGCTTTCATCCTAACAGAAACAAAGGTGAGAGATCAGACAAGGAGCTGGCGTTCGTTCTCCCACTCCGCTTTCCGGCCCAGGGCTCCGACGCGACGGGCGGCTGCCTCAGGCTGGCAAACGGGCTGTGTGCTGTCTGAGCACAGCCGCGGGCTGAAGAGGGGAGATATCCACCGGTTGTCTGTCTGGGTAGTCGGGGCAGCCTGCCCCTGCCACGGCACCACGTTACTCTGGCGCAGGGAGTGTGCTCGGGGCGGTGAAGCTGCCCGGCACCTGCTCCGCTGCTGCCCCGTGTGCGGAGAGACCCGCTCCCAGCCAGAGGTGCGGAGCCTGTTGCTAGAGGCCAGGGAATACGAGCGATCTCTCTTCAGACGCTGGCTGGCTGATGAGACTCAGCAGGTTAGAGCAAGGCTCCGCGCTTCCCAACAGCCACAGCGCAATACAGGGAGAGAGATCCCAGCCTGCCCCTTCCCCCTCAAATACGAGATGCTTCGCTGGGGGCAAGAATCAGAAATAGCTTCTCTGAGAGCAATCACAGAACAGGCAGAGCAATGTTTTCAACAAAGAAAGTCAAACTGAAGGAGTACAGACCATTAGTTCCCAGTCTGCGTCGTTGATGAGCACCAAAATTCCTGGCCTCCTGCAGAACAGAGAGAAATAATTAGGATACAGGGCTGCTAAAAAGCTTCACAAACAGTTAAGAACAGATCACAAGCTGACTGCCTATAAAGCCAAAAAGGAACCCTAGCACGGAGGTGGAAACAGGTACAGCCTGTGCCCTTTCTAGATCAAATAAAGGGGAGGCAGGAGCAATCCCAGGGCTCATTTGAATCTAAATGCACCATTCCTGAGGATGCTCCGAGATGACTACATTTCCGTACCATGTAGAAAAGCCAGGTAATTCAAACCCACGCGCTACAGTCGAGCGCAGAGAGCTCGATGTGAAGGTAGGCAAAGCTATTCCGGTGCCCCTGCCCAAGGCACTGAACACCCGGGATCCACTCCGAGCCCCTGATTACAGGCAAAGGGATTCCCCCTCTTTGATCTTCAGTGTCCTGCAATTGTCTCTCCTGTTACCAGGGGACCTGGCACACGCTTCAGCTCACAAAGATCCGTGACGAATGTTAAACACCCCCAGCGCCACCCCGCAGGCAGGGATGGCTTGCACAGCTCACTCTGCTCCATTTCTCTTGGCTATTTTTTTTCCTCTCCACGAGGCTGGCCCCATTTTGACAATAAAAATACATTTCCCAGAAGAAATATTTGTTGGCGTTTCTCCGAGTGACTACTTCGGTCCCAGTGATGTCAGCGGGGAACGGACAGACCTGCTAAAACTCCTGGAATTGAGGATACACGTGCTACGCTGCTCCAGGTGACAACGGAGGGAAAGTATACATGGCCCTGCTTCGCATTTAAGGTTTAAGATTCAGGGTGAGGGCTGAGAAAGACGCTCTCTGTGGAGCAGGGCGGGGTGTAGTGTGGGACACCTCCCATTATCACTTTAGCAAATCCCATATTTTCACGGTCATTAACTCACTCCTTGCAACCAACAGGAAAAAATGTATCCCAAACTCTGAGGACCAACAGAGAAACACGAGGAGGGTTCACGACAGCTGTACTTACACAGATTCCCCTTGCATAAATAATTCTGGTCGTTCTTTCAACAGATTCTGTTTGATCCACTTTAGCAGGTTTCTGATGTCCCCTGAAAGGAGAAAGAACAGCAGTTTACAAACTAGCTGACAGCTCCGCGCTGATGCCAGAAGCAAGCGATTGTTTATCCACAAAAGAGCCGAGGAGGAACGTGCAGGCTGGATGGGGCTGGCTGCAAACCTCCAGCCAAAGGACCCTCCCCGCAGGAGCATCCCTTACCAGCACCCAACAGGCAGCCCTGCCTCCGGGGAGCTCAAAGCGCGGGGCTCTGCCCCCGGCCCCACGGCTTGGCAGAAGAGGTCTCCCGCAGCAAATGTGTCCCGCAAAGAACGAATGCAGCTCAGGCCGAAGTGCCAAGCCAGCGGGAGACAGCCCTTGTTCAGATTTCTCTAACGCATCCCATAGCCGTGTGTGTTCCGTAACCACCTAACAAACTGATGTTTAACTCCAGGTGTATTTAACTATTAAAAAGTCCAAACAAACACGCTTAAGTACCTGCAAGGAGAAAGGGCAGACACTACCGATGCCAAAACCAGCACAAACTCTTGGAGACAGGCGTTCTGGGGCACAACTGTGTACCTAACCAGGCATTAAACACGCACACCAGCAGTTGTGTTTCGGACACTTGCAATATCCCTTGGCATCACACCTGCTGCCGCGGCGTGTTCCCCACGCTGTGCCTGCTCCCTCCCTCCACACCTCCTGCTTACAGCTTCTTCATTAAAGCTCAGCCTTTATCTTTCCATTTCAGTAGGTGACAGGAAGGATTTGTCTTCATGTAAAAGGAGGAGGAGACACTGCTGGCGGGTTTTTATAGTATCAATTTTACTTTCTGAGGCAAAAACAATTTCTTTAGTGATAGCATCAGTTAATTTCCTATTGGAGAGGTGAGAAGCGACAGAGGGGGGGAATAATCTGTTACAGGGTTTAGAGAAGCTGACAAATTGCAATGTGGAGTTCTCCTGCATTTGCCTCTATATTTCACCATTCCACAAACCACTTCATCATTCTGAATCCACAACCAGTTATTCTCCTGGGGCTCCTTTAAACAGCTCTTTGAAAGCCCCGAAAGAGTTTTGTTTGTTTTCGAGGCGTGAGGAAGCTTTTTGAAGGCACAAATCCACCAGTGAGGGCTGGAGCCCTGCTCACAGGATGAGCGGGGATGGCAGGATGGGTTTCCACGTCTGTCTCACGTGTGGTAACCTCGCCGTAGTCATGGGGAACCTTTCTGCACGCGCCTCTCCAAGCTAAAATCAAACTCGGTGTACGATTCCCCATGCGTTTGCTTCGCGACCAGCAAAAATAAATGTGCTTGTAGCAGCTTGGCTCAGTCCCTGCCTTACCCCAGGATTTTAGGGGATTGTGGATGCTACTCAGAGCAGAGCTGGGGTTCCTCCAGATAACATCAGCCCCATCACTTCTGTCACACCAAAGATGAACAGCCCTGGCGTAGGCAGGTGCTCGACAACTAGGCGATGGGGACGTGTCCATCTGCAGCAGATGGGGGCCTCTCTTCCCAGGGAAAGGAGGGGGATGCTCTGAGATTCCCTCTGTCCTGTCTTCCCCCTATTTCCCAGGGCATCGGTGCCTCTGGGTCACAGCGTGCCCACCAGCACACCGGTCCGACCGCGGGGCTGCCTGGAGCATGGCAGGTATTGCTGCTTCCGAGCACCGGATCGCTCTGATCAGAGCAAAAAGAGCTGCTTTGTGCCTTAAAACCACCGGGTGAGCGGGATTACCTGCCTGGGGCCAGCCCACTGCTCCCTTGTAATGATACATAGTTAAGAGTACAAAACAGATCATTTTCTGCTGCTTTTCTAGCAATGTGCACTGGGGACAGCACGCGCCACTGAGAACGTGTGTGTATATATATCTCTATATACACCACATATACACATACACACACCCCCCACACTGGTCCGTCAGCCACCAGAACAGGAGCTACCTACGTTCACCTTCCCCTGAAAAATGCTGTTGCAACGTAAAGCCCTCAGGATCTCACACCCAAACAGCTCCTGCTCTCCATCACCAAGAAACGAAAGCAGGAGAGGAAGAAAGATGGAGAAGAGCCTTCAGGAGAAGGAGGGGGGGCACAAAGGGGACACCAGCCCCACCGCAGCAACGCCCGCGAGCTGTTTCATATTTATGCACTTGCGGCAGGGCACACAACAATGAGCTGTGCCATATACCATTCTCCTTGCGTGGAATAAGCAGCCCTTTCCTCTGGGACCTTTCAGGAGAGATCATTTAAACAGAAACACGCTGCACCAGCTGGATAAAAGACAGCCACCTACAAGCAGCCTGGACGAAGGGGCGAGAGGACTGATTTATTCGAGGCTGAGCTGGAAGACTCCCTCACCCCTACTCCTTCCATAATAAATGTTATTTTCAGCCCCACCTGAGCCTACATTCATTTACTCCTCCCCACAAGTCACGTACACACACATGGAAGAATTTAGACAGCAGGAAAAAACCTGATACCCCTGTGCATGCTTGGAGCTTCCCCGCTCCATATGGCAACAAAAATTAAGCCCCCTTCTCCGCGGCCAACCTTAAGATGTAATAATACATTTTGCTGCTTTCTCAGCACTGAATTTCCCCCCCTTCATGTCTCTACATCCTGTACACCAATATTACTAGAACAAATCAATTATAAAGGATGAAAAATGACCAGAGCCACACCAAAACCATCTCCCACAAGTAAGATATTGAAAAGGAACGAGATTACTTCCACTGCAAGTGGTCTGGGGAGCAGCCATCTCGCAGCTCAGTGCCTCGAATAGCAGTCTTGATCAACAGCTCAGGACTCTGCATGTTATCATGATGGAAATAATAAGAGGTAAATTACAGCACAACTGCTTATCTCTTACAGTTGACATATGTAGCATCCCTAAGACATTTTCTCTCTGATACTATGCTATGGGCCTAACAGGTTTCCAGCTCCCCGGGCAGAGGATGTGCTATGCAAACAGCAGGTCCTCTACAAATGACACAGAAGGAGGGAAAAAATAAACTTCACCTGGTCAGGCAGCACAACCATCAACAAGCGAAACCATCGCTACAAGGCAGCAATTTTACACTCGTGTTGGCTCTCCGGCCGGCCCCCATCGCAGACAGAGGCCCTTGCTATTTGCAGGAGCGCAGTGGTGTCACGCGTGCTGCTGTTTGGCTGGAAAAGCAACCGCGCATTTTTGCCCAGGAGTGAGGTCCAGGTGAGAGCTGAGACCACACAGCATTTCGCTCCCACGTCACCAACTCCAGTCCAGCTCATCCCAGTAATGATCTATTTCTATCACTGCTGCACAGTCTCAGTGAAATTCTTTTGGTAGCCTACTCCATTTCATTCACAGCAAACAAATATCCACACCAAAAAATTCACTCTAATTATCGTTCACTGTCCTCGCCACTGGCAGCATCAGCAGAGAAGCCAGAGCGAACTGGCCAAGGAAGCTGAAATATTCTCAAACTGCAAAGGAGGGACTGAAGCACATGGTAGGAAATCCCTGCCTCATTTGTACACAGAGACAGCTTCTGTTGCCTGTGCTAACAGTACATCAAACCTCTCCAAATTCTCAGGAAAAAATAATCTAAAGTTAATTAAAAAAAAAGAAAAACTGACAAACGTTTGAGAAAACTGTTCAGCTCAAGTGCACAGATGGGAGCTCAAATCCACAATACATGCATAAAACAAATCACCCAGCGAAACACACAGCTCAGGAAAACGAAGTGTGTGCTTGCAGTGACACAAAGTCATTGGCTTGTCACGCAAGCGGACAGGATGCAGAAACTGCAGCAAGCGTGCATACAAAAACCCAACAGCGTCGGCTCATTTTCAGCCCAGCTGCATCATAAACACTCCTGGTTGTGGCAGACAGAACTGCACAGTCTGCTCAGTCCTCCTGCGTATCCTCCAAGGCCTGAGCTGCTTCTGCATTACCCCAACTGTTCCTTGACGAGAATCTGCTGAGCTTCCTCTGCAAGAGAAAGGCGTCTAGGACTCCATTTTAGCACTGCCTGGAACAAGAGCCCGGGTTCATTTGCACCCTCAAAACCAGGGCTGAAATCCACGGAGGGCTGAAATCCATAGATCTTTCCCAGCTCAATAAAACCTCCCGGGCCTGACAGATTCATCGGTGGTAACTCAGCAAAGGGGGCACCTGCTGTGTGCAGAGAGATACCGGGTGCCTCAAACAAGAAACACCAAGCCGGGTGTCGCACCAGCAGGATCTCACACCGAACCGATAAATGTGCAGAAATGCAGGATTTTGCTTAACCGTAACACCGGTTGACACAGACACGTAGGTCTCGGCTCCCAGGGAGCTGCACGGGTTGCTGCCAGGCGCACACTCAGACACATGCAATGACCAGACGCCTCTGTGTCCCCCGCCTTCAAATCCACGTACAAACCCGCACAAAGCAGACAGGGCCTCGAAGGGCACCCAGAGGGTGCAATTACACCCAGATTCTGCCTCGGCTGCAGAACAGGGAGCTTATTTCAGGGAAATAGGGGAACCCTACAAAGGCTGAACCATGGAAAATTCCCTTCTGGTCCGTAATAAATAAGATATATGCAGCACTGGTCACTAAGGGGTCAGTGCTGCAAGAGCACAGCGCTTTCCCGGGCCGCCTTGCGGATACCTCCCTGTGGGGTACCATTTCTTTGACCCAGAATAAGATCATTTATCATACTGACCATGGCTGAGCTCCAATTTGCTGAGGTCACTAACTCTGGACGAGCGCCGCTCCACCCACATTCTCAGCCACCGGCCCGTAACCATGACAAAGCCCCTTCCCTGCCGCCCCCCTGCCATTATTCCCCCCGCCTGCATGGAAATGTATGGGAAGACAATTTGCATCCCCCTTTTCCTGCTTAAGCAGCTTGGTTTTAAAACAGACTGGCTCCCGGTACCTGCTGCCCCTCCAGGTGCATGCCCCCTCTCTGCTTTTGAATCCAACAGCCCTCCAGGAATCTGCTCTCTGAAAGAGCCTGTTACAAAACCTGACCTAAGAGATCCTTCCAACTCCTCCAGCCTCCCATCTGACACGCAAATC